GCCAGCATCAAACCCAGCACAGACTTGGGCTCCCTTAAACCCATCCACAATGGACCCTCGTGGTCCTGAGTGTGGGGTAGGACCAGCGCAGGGGACAGTGTGCACACGGGGGGGAAGGGGGTGGCAGTTGTCCCCACCACCTCTGCCAGGCTTTTGCTCCCAACTCCTCCGACGCCGTGCTGCGTCCTCGGGCGGCACACGGTGCGTGGCAGCGGGAAGTGCCCAGGGCTCTGCCAGGTCAAACCACCGCTGAGTTTGGAAGGGCAGGGCCGATGTGAGTTTTGCCCCAGCCATTCGTCCCTACTGCCACAAGATGGGGCCCTTCAGCCGCGGTGCTTTATCGGGGCCAGGCAGAGGGTGCAGGGGGCCAAGCCTCGGTGCTGCTTGCAGGGCTGAGCTGGAGCCGAGGAGGCTGCCAGGGTGGGCTTCCAGCCAGCCCCAGGTCCCGAGCACACTGAGGATATTGGTGTCAGCTCGTAGCTGTGCAGGAGCCCCCCCTAGCAGCCCATTTTCAGTGCTGGGTGCCCCATTCCCCTTGGCTCATAGCAGAGGGGCATGTGAGCCCCGGTCAGCCCTTGGTGGCCAGAGCTTCGTGTGCTCCAGCACACAGTCTGCCCCATGCACCACACACGCTGGCGGCAGCTTTCCAGAGCTTGGCTCTCGGTCACTGCCCACCTGCCCCAGGACCTGCAGGCAGCGGGTGGTGGTGGTGGTCTGGAGCAGGGCAGGTCAGGTATTTCCCCCACTGTTGGCCCAGGTTCGTTTTGCAGAGGTGGAGGCAATCTCCGCACTGCCACAGCAGCAGCATCCCCAGATGGCACCAGGTGACGTGGGAGAGCTGGACTTTGGGGACAAAGCCCTCTGACCGAGTCTGTGGCAGCATTTAAGAGGCAGAGACACAGTAGGCAGCTTCAGGGGAAGAAGGAGATTAATGTCTTCGGGTGAGACAAAAGCCTGCTCTGATGTCTCCACTGGCCTCCATCAACATTTATTCTTGATGGACAAAGCATCTGTAGTTCAAAGATACCCACAGAACAACACAGTATTTTGTTACATCATAGTTACCAAGGCAAGGGGCGTCTCAGAGCCTGTTTTTATTGAACGAGGAGGTGAAATGACATCAGGAATCGAGCTTGATATTTCTGACTTACCTGATCACGATTTCCCAGCCTCTTCAGGGATTGCCAGCAGCACTGCCCAGATAGCTTGGATACTGCTCTTACTAGTGTCTGATAAATAGCCACGGCCCTAGAGAGTGTGTCCTGGAAAGGGACACAGAAACACATACTTCTGGAGGAGGTTAAGCATCTTACGGGAGTTCACCAGGAATTTCCCGTTCAAAATGTAGCAGAGAAGCATTGGGAAGATATAGAATTCATTTCTTACTGGAAGCTGATCTTAAGACACCAGCTGACGGATCCTCATGCTGCAAAGAGGGAAAACATCATGTGTTTTGCAAACTGTTTCTGTTTATACATCCCATCTTGGCATTTAATATGCCAACAGCACAACTCATGACTGGTGCAACCTATTGGTCTTTTGTTGAAAAACTGCTGTGTAAGCAGTTTCTTTGCCATGTGTTTGGACAGTTACTTTTTCCTAAGTGTCACATCTTCCATACTGAACTGATCTCTTTGATTTGTCTGGATCATTTTGAATTTTAACACAGCGCTTCGGGGTGCTCACAGCCTCTCCAGCGCAGGAACATCTGAGAATTTAATAAGCGCACTCTCCATTACAACACATAAGTTATTGATGAAAGAACAGTGAATAATAATGTTGAACCAAGGACTGGAATCTGTCACAGAAGGAAAACAGACTCATCTGAAATGATTCATTCTTGGCAATGGCCATGGTTATTACTCATCTCTTTCTTCGATTAAATGTCCCACTGTTGTTTTGTGATTTGAAGTTGACTGGTTTCTATTTCCTTAGTTTCCTTCTTTTTCCCTGCTAATGACAAAAGACCCTATTGTCTCATTTCTGTGACCCCATCACTCTCCATCACTTCCCAAAGACGCTGGCTGTTTGGAGATGGCTTCGGTCAGTTGCTGAGGTAAAGAGGATTTTTTTCAGGCAAAAAAACTGGAATGATGAAACGTACTTTAACTATCCTTCTACCTTCTCCACTGGCTGCTTTGCCAGTCAGAAAAGGAAAAGTGGTTGTAGAAGAGAGAAAATATAGTCAGCCTCCCAACAGAGCAGCCACATCAAAAAAGGTTGATAAAAACAATTTAAACCATTGGCTGCTCTCCTTTGCCATCACAAGTTTAACATTGCAAGAAAAATCTTAGAAAATCTTTTTGCTGATCCTCCTCAAAGCTGATCTGTGAGGAACCCTGTGAGCTCCCATGACTGTGAAGTCAATAAACATCATGAATCCCCCATCCTCGGAGATGTTCACAACAGAATCCAGGTCTCAGATTTTACATCTGGGAGGAGCAGATTTATGGTAACACGACATTGGCCACTGCTGTCTTCTCAGGGCTGTATTGCAGCCATTCACCAGCTAAGGGCAGAAACTTTCCACACCTCTTCTGCACTGCTTTTCCACTCTCTTTTTGTGGCTGATCATGTCTTTTTTGATAATTAGATCCCGACAGATTTTTGCTGCAACTGTACCACTAGCAACCCTTCTCAATGAGATTACAGTAGTTTTGCGCTCAGGCGTGCTCGACATTTTCCACTGAGGATTGTCCAGATTTTCACTACAGAGACGGAAATCGAACAGAAATGCAAAAATTTTCTTCCTGCTGCTTGCCCTACACACACCAACCACCTGAGGAGATCTTGAATTTGTTTAGGGATGGTGAAACTGAGAACACAGGAGATGCTGTGCTGGTCACATCATTGGTTCCTCTCTCCCAGTGTTGTTTTCAGCAAGAGGAGAAGCGTCTGGGGAGAGCACATGAGCCTAGCCATTTTTGGTTGTGTTTCTCCAGCATTCACACCAGCAGTAAGAGCTATTTCAGAGGGCACATTTCTGCCTGTTGCCTTCAGCATCTGTCTGTTGACCTGCTGCTCATGAAATTGCTACACCTTTTATAAACCTGCTGATCCTATTTGTTTCCACAACCTCCTGTGGCAGCAAGTTCCAGAAGTTCATTCTTCCCCCTGCCCCGTATAAAGTCCTTTCTTTCCATTTTAAATGTATCTACCAGACTC